GCCTCCCAAGTAGCTGGGACCACAGGCGCCCGCCACAACGCCCGGCCATTTTTTAGTTGAAGCCATCATTGTTGTTTGGCGGGCCCGAGCTGGGGATTCGAACCCACCACCTTAGGTGTATGTGGCTGGCGCCTTAGCTGCTTGAGTAATTCTTATTTGAAGTTGCAGTGAGAGGTTTGAGAGAAAGGAAAGGTCTCACTCATTAAAAAACATAGGAAAAAACCTGGAGCTATCCCAGGGTGGGAGACCCTACTTTGTAGAAAATAGGTTCCAAATGGGGGAAGTTGGGGAACTAATTATAATTGCAGAAGTGCCTATCTCTAAAGCTCTGCATTGTGCCAAGCTCTGAGACGAGGGATTTACACATGTGATTTTATTAAATCCTCACAACAACCCATTTTACAGGAAAGAAAGGAAGTCTTAGGAAGCTGTTATCTGTTCAGGTCATATTATAAGATAGTGAAACTGATGTTCTAGCTTAGGAATCTTTAGTTCCAAAGTTTACCATCTTCACTACTCACCTATAATAGTCACTAAAGGACTGAGGAAGGAAAAATGGAAAGAAGGGAGGGAGGAAAAAAGAAAAGGAGAGCAGGAAAAAAGGAAGAAAGAGCAGTAAGGAAATTTGGGGTATAGTTGAGTACCAAAATAAAAATCTGGGTAGTTGGAAACAGGGTGTCAGCAACATAAAAGAGATGGACGGAGCATGTTACTCACCAGATGGAGTGATGTCTGCATGACACAGAGACCCTGTAGACAGTTGAGGGGTTAGTTTTTTTCAAAGCCTTTTGCCTACCAATCCCATCTTGTGGGGAACCCAGGAATGTGAGTCCTCATCTCTCCTTTCCTCTGGGAAATAAAAATCCTATCCCTAATTTCTCCTTTCCCAGTAGCCAGAAATCCAGACTCTCCTCCCCACCTACTTAAGAAGCCAGAAGCCTAGACCTAGCCCCTTCTTGCCTCTACACTAGTGTTTTTCAACCTTTTTTAAAAAATCTCATGGTACACTTGAACCTATAGTTAAACTTCCACAACACACTTAAATTATGTTGATGAGAAAAAAAGAGCAAAAGAAAGAATATACTTACTGTTCTTTGAACTTCTTTCTGAAATAATTAATTAATGATTCTTAAAAGTTTTTTTTTTTTTTGGCCGGGGCTGCATTTGAACCTGCCATGTCTGGCATATGGGGCTGGCGCCTTGCCCAATCCTTAAAAAGTTTTTAAGGCACACCTAAGATCGTGTCACAATCACTGCTCTATACTCAAGAGTTTCTGCCTTTGGGTTCCACCTTTCCTGCTGAAGACAGAGTCTTCTTTTTGAGACAAGAGTCTTACTTTGTTGCACTCAGTAGAGTGGCATAGCATTAATAATCTGGTTCAAGAGTCTGAGCCCCCAGGAACTCAGGACTCTTATTTCCACCCCTCTTCAACATCAGAATCCAGAAGTCTACCCTCCTTGGCCTCAAAATTCAGGCTTCTACCCTCTCCTACCTCAAGATCCAGAGAGTCTGTCCCCAACACCTTTCTCTTCCAGGAATCCTTTTCTTGCTTTAGTGCCCAGGGGTCTAGGCCCCAGTCCTGTCTCCTTATTTAAAACTAAAATTCCAAACCCCCAGCTATTGGTAGGGTATCTGGGTCCCCAAAGCACCTCTCTGGCTCCCCAGCCCAACCAAGGACCCCCGAAAAAGGAGGGGGCAGCTCACAGAGGGTCAGCAGCTGGAGGGTCAGCACCAGGGCCATAGTGGGCAGATCTTGGTTGGAGCTGGAGCAGGACCAGGGCTCTCTTGCCCTCTCCCCTCCTAGGAAATGAAGCAACATCAGAAGGCCAGAGCCTTGTTTAGGGAAGAGAACTGTGTCATAGCCCTATGGTGCTGTGGAAAAGTTGAGAGTGAGGGTAGTCATAAGCTGTGGTGAACACTGTCTGTTAAAAAAAAAAAAATAGCACCTATGGCGGCGCCTGTGGCTCAAAGGAGTAGGGTGCTGGCTTCATACGCCGACGTGGCGGGTTCAAACCCAGCTCGAGCCAAAAACTGCAAAAAAAAAAAAGGAAAGAAAGAAAAGAAAGAGCACCTATTATGTGCCCAATCCCTGCTGGGTGATGCTGGTGGCGCAGAGAGGACCCCCTTATTGCCCTCGAGCAGTCACCAGTTTGACTGAGTCAGACGACCTTTTTTTTTCTTTTAAGGGAGCTGAGCTATAATGGCGGTCACATAGGTCGCTCTAGATAGGTCAGTCTTTCGCCTTCGGGTCTCAGTTTCTTTAAGGGTAAAGTGGGTTTTCATGTATAAACTATAAAACAGGGACTATTTTATTCTGCCTTAGGTAGGCCGCATCAGGAGCACTACAATTTGCTCCTCCGGCGCGACTTTCAGGTTCAGGGCAGCTATGCAAACCCAACCTTGCACTTCGCCCGACTTTTAGCCGCCGTCTGACTTCGGGACTGCGCCCATGCGCACGCGCATATGCGCAGGAACCACAGGTCCCAGAGTTCTCCGTGTCCTCGCATCCGCCCCAGCACTCCTGGTCCAGGGCGCACGCGCAACCCTGGAGCCGAGCTTCGTGCGCAGGTACAACTCCCAGGGTGCCCTGCGTTCTCGCCGCTGCAGTCGCCGCCGCCGAGACCAAGATGGCTGCTAGTAAGTGCAGGCAGCGCTGGCGCGTGGAACTCGGGTAGTTCTGGGCACACCCACCCTACCGTAGGTAGTCCCCGGGCTAAGGCGCAGCGGAAAACTCATGGAGGCGGCGGGGGAACGTCTCGGAGGGGTAGTGGAGGATGCAGAAGCCTTGAAGGGGCTCCTGCAGAGCGAGGGTAGCACAAGAAGGTTAGAGGTCACTGGGGCAGCCCCTGCAGGAGTGACGCTTGTCGCCCACTCTTCCAGGACTCGCCGCCTTCCTCAAGAATGCTTGGGCCAACGAGCCAGTGCTGGTGGTGTCCTTCACCGTCGCGGGCCTCGGTGCGTGAGTGTCTCCGGCGCGAATTTGCATCTTCCATCTCCGCCCCCAACAGGTTCCCACGCCCCTCATCAACATTCCATCAACCCCAACCATTGCCCCACGCGGTACCCGCAGAGCCCTGTCGCTGCTCTGGACGTTCCGCCCCCTGCTAGTATATCAGCAGCCTCACGACGTCCTCTGGCCTACCCCCATCCCCAGCATTGTAATCCCTCTACCTCCACCACCGCGCCATGCACACCTATTCAAGGCACCCTTAATCCGTCTAAAGGAGAGGTTCTCAATCCTGCTTGTTCATCATAAACACTTGAATGCTAAAAATCAAATGAGTAACGTCCCATATCTTACCCCAGCCCCTAGATACTGAATTGCGTCGATTGGGTTGGAGAATCCGCATCTTGTGAGAAGCCCCCAGTGATATTAATGTGCCATCCTGATTGATAAACTCTGCTCAGGACGTGCTGCTCCAACTTAAATGTGCACTGGAGTCCCTTGGGATAAATAAAATGTTCTGATTCTTAAGGTCTAGGATGGGGCCTGGGAGTCTGCATTTCTAAAAAGTTCCCAGGTCTTGTGAGTACTACCACTGTGCTGGCCAGGTCCTAGTTAAGGTTCTAGAACACTGTGGTCCACTGTGGCAGCCACACCTGGCCACTGAGTACTTGAAAGGGGGCCAGTACAAATTGAAGTGTGTAAGACCAGATTTTAAAGACTTTTCTGTGACAAAAAGTATGTAAGCAATCAATTTTTTGTTGATCATGTCAAAATGATAAGATTTCAAATATACTAGAATTCAATAGATGTAGATACAGATATAGAATATAGATTTCAATATATGTGCTTCTTAAAATTAACGTGGCTAATTAGAAAATATAAAATTCCACATGTGGGAACATTCCTTTTTATGCACCCTACCTAACTGCCATGACTCCTTGCTCCCATCATAGATGGAACATAAGAACCATCTAACTCATCAATGTTCTTTGTACAACCATCTCTCCCCTAGTTTGTAACGGTATTGATTGTTCTGGAACATTCCCAAAACACTCCACCCCTGCATGCTTCATGGCAACCCCTACTCTTACTCCATCCTCTCTGCGCACAGGCCAGATGTACCTGTGCATGCTGGGCTCCACCTCACCTCCAAGAACCCCTACAAAAGTTTTAAACCCTTCTACCTATAAATAGGGATCCCAGAGTACTAAGGGGCCCCCTGAGCAAAGGATTCTTCTATATATGCTTGCCTTCCTTGCTTCTGCCCCCTAACACACTTGACCTCAGCACCTACCTGTCCCCCAACCCAGCCACCTTCCTCTTGGGCCTTAACCCCTTGTTTCTCCACAGCTGTAATTATGCCGATGATCAGCCCCTACACCAAATATGCTAGCATGATGAACAAGGTCACGCCCTACAACTACCCAGGTGAGCAGAGGCCAGGCAGGGCTGGCTGGGATAGGCTTCCCTGTGCTGGGGAAGGGGCAGTAATCCCTGATTACTAAGCAGGGATCAGAGATTCAGTACCGGCATTTGGACGTTTCCCCTGCCCAATATTTATTTATATGTATCTTTTGGAGACAGAGTCTCATTTTGTCACCTTCAGGAGAGTGCTGTGACATTCATAGTTCACAGCAGCCTCAAACTCTTGGGCTAAAGTGATTCACCTCTCAATCTCCTGAGTAGCTGGAATTACAGGTGCTTGGCACGATGCCTGGCTATTTTTAGAGATAGGGTCTCCCTCTTGCTCAAGCTGGTCTTAAACCTGTGAGCTCAAACAATCCACCCACCTCAGCCTCCCAGTATTGAGATTACAGACATGAGCCACCATGCCCGGTCCTCTACCCAGTATTTTTAATTGAGAGCTAATCCACATACCATTCTGGGTTTTGCTTTGAGTTTCTATTATCTTTGCAGATTTCTATGCTTGTGTGAGTTCCTACCTCTGTTGCTATGTTGATCTCCTTTTCTCCATTCTCAGTTCTCTGTAGGTGGTGTGCTCACCCTCCTGCTGTTCCTCCCTGTCTCTAGGTCTCTGGACCTCCCTACTTCTCTTCATGTCTATGATTTTCTGACCTTTCCTTTCATCTCTCCCTGAGGTTCTGCTTCCCCCTCTGACTATTAAACTGACAGATCAGCTCTTCACAGGGCCCTGGAGATCTGCCCATCTCAGTGGCCCACCCTCCTGTCCCACAGTGCCTGTCCGAGATGATGGGAACATGCCCGATGTGCCCAGTCATCCCCAGGACCCCCAAGGCCCAAGCTTGGAGTGGCTGAAGAAACTGTGAGCACCTCCATCCACAGGGAGAAGACTCCCCCTCCCTCATGGACCCCAATAAAAACGTGAAAACCAACCCCAGAATCTCAGCTGTGTGTGATTAGAGGTGGGAACAGTAACAGTAGGAAGGTAAATGTGGGGGTCAGTTTATTAGTGGTTCAATCAAAGGGTGGGCTGGCTAGGGTAGGGTAGGGCAGCAGTTTATCTGGCCCCCGAGAAACCCAACTGGAATCCAGAGCCTCATCTGCTTCAAAGGCAAAGTCTTCCTCAACCTTAATCTGCAGGAGATAAGAAACAAGGAGTAGGCATGGGATCTAGAAAAGTGCCCATTGGCCTTGCCATTCTTGCTTTCCCAGGCCAAACCACTACCTTTGTGCACTGCAGAGGTGATCCCAGTGTTTGAGTCTAAAGGTTCTTTAACTTTTCCCCTTGCCCTCCTTTTCCACACCATTTCCTCTGATTCTTCCCCCTCCTCCTCTATTCCCAGCCTCTTCCAGTTATATTTCTCTTCCTCCAGGCCTTCCTTCCATTTCCAACTTTGCCTCCTTTACTAGCCAAGCCTTTGCCTGACTTTTTTGCCCTTCTCCTTCCCTACCTAACCCTAGACTTCTGCTTCACCTGCTTTCTTTAGCACACTCTCCCCAGCTCTGTACCCTTTGTGGCATAGCAGCAAAATCCAGAAACCCTGATGATGCCTCAGCCTTGGACTTCCCCCTCCCACCTGTACTGGGGCCAGCTCTGGAGTCAGTGCAGCTCCTGCTCGGCGTCCATCCCGTTGTACTCGCCGCCTCTTCCGCCCACTGGGCCCCTCGCCTGGGGCTGGGCTGCTGGGTTCTGGGGGTACCGGAGTCCTTCTGGGTGGGGACAGCCCCTCTTTCTCTGGGGGTTCATTCTCGGCATTGCCTGGGGTGGGGGCATCTGTGCCTTGGCTGCCCTCATCCTGGCAGGGTGGAGGGAGAGGCAGGTGATGGTCATGCCCTGGATTGCCCATCCCCTGACCTACCTGGATACCCAGCACTCACCTCCAGCATGATGGTGAACTGGCTGGCCCGGTAATCATCCCCATAGGAGTCGAGCACTCTCATGAGGAACCTACTCAGAGAAATATCAATTCTCTTATAGAGGCTGGGGAAAAGGGACAATGATGAAGCCCAGATCTCTCTCCACCTGAAGCCAAAGCTGTCCCCAACCCAAGTGGTTGAAAGAGCTGTGTAGTTAGAGAAGCCTGGACTAAGTATGTGACAGGCTAGACCAAGTGACCTTTCTGAGCTTTACTTCTTGCTCAGTAATCAGAGATGACCACCTTGACTGGGCTGGGTGTTGCTGTAGTGACATGTCACCTAGATAAATTCTCTGAAATCATCTTACTTGATGGGGTATCAGCATTCAGTAAACACTCAAACATGAGTGATGATTTTTGTTGACAGTTACAAGGTGAGCAGTGCATGCAGAATGCTCCCACAGTGACCCTACCACTCACTAACACTGTCTTCTCTTCCCCATCTCTGCTTTTTTATAAAGTTCTGATTGGTTGAGTGCTTCCTCTACCAGAGCCTGATTGGGCATTTTACAATCTCTCATTCCACAAGTATGTTCTGAGTACCTCCCCTGCATCAGGCTCTCTTTCAGGTGCTGAGGACAAGTCAGGGGACAAAACAAAGATCCCTGTGCATATGGAACTCAGGGTTTCTGGGAGATAGACAATAAGCAAATCAACCAAACATAACAAGTCAGGAAGCAGAAAGAAAGCCAAAGATACTTGGGGTCTGGAACTTCAAAAGGATGGTTGGGGAGGCCTTAGTGAGGATGACAGGGTGGCAGAAGGACAGACACTCTGGCAGGTGCAAGGGCCCTTAGTAGGGGGAGCCTGCCTGGTGTTCTTGGTAGAGAAAGGAAGCAAGGTGCTGGGTCATGTCACATAGGGCCTGTTGGCTGCTGTGAGGACCTTCACTTTTACTCAGTCCACTAGGGTTCTGAGCAGAGTGACTTAGTCTAGACCACAGTTTAGAAGGACTAGTCCCAAATTTCAGATACAGCAGGCCTGGGGAGGCAGGGCCTGAAAACTTGCTTTTGCCATTTAAGCCCCCAGGTGGCTCTGATGCTGCCAGTCCAGAAGCCACACTTAGAGAACCACTGGGGTGGGCCCTCAGGAAAGAGCTCAGAAAGCATCACCATCCTGACCAACTGGTCCTAGGTATTAGGGACAGTTACTACGTGCACATGTTTCTCAGCTCTTTGATGTGTCACCCATAGAGGCCACTGGTCCCTTTCATGAACCCTCCTGATCCTTCTAGAAAATAAAATCTTGGCTAAAGGTGCAAAAAGGCAACAAAGCAGGGGAAGGGGTCACTAAAGCTGTTTTAAGTGGAGACTGAATAAGGCAGGGAGACCAGTGAGAGAGCAGTGATGCAGCGAGAGGCTGTCTTTTGTTCCAGGCTGGCTGATGGCAGTGGAGTTGTGGGGACATATGGGGGTCAGTTCCAATGAATTTGATGTGTGATTAGAGAAACAAGCAAAAGGTCCCAAGCAACTGGAGAGGAACTGAGACACAGAGTAAGCCTGGGTGAAGATCAAGGTCAGTTTTGGATGCCTCACAGATAATGAGCCACTGTCCAGCAAGCAGATGACAAAGGGAATAGAGAGTTCAGGGGAGAGCTGTGGACAGAATTTGAAAAGTTAGCTGCCTAGAGGTGACCAGGGACCAGGAGGTTGCCCAGGTGAACCTGTGACAAGGACAGCATATTCTGTATCTGGTGTCCAAGTTGGCAGCTACCAGCCACCCGTGGCTATTACTTGACTGTGGCAAAACTGACAAGCTGAGCTCTTCATTTATTTTATTATTTTTAGAAACAGGGTCTCGCTGTGTCGTCAGGCTGCAGTGCAGTAGCACCATCACAGCTCACTGCAGCTTTGAACTCCAGGGCTCAAGTGATCCTCCTTCCTCAGCCTTCTGAATGGCTGGGACCACAGATGCCTGCCACTGTGTCCAGCTAATTTTTTATTTTTATTTTTGGAGGTATAGGGTCTCACTGTGTTGCCCGGGCTGGTCTCAAACTACTGGCCTCAAGCAGTCCTGCCTCTGCTTCCAAAGTGCTGGGGTTATAAGTTATAGTAAGTGTATGACCCATTACACTTACTTTACATTAATTGAAGTGGAAATTGCCACCTGTGCCTACAGAAAACATGATATATAGCTTGTGCTACTCCAGGAACTGAATTTCTTTTTTTTTTTTTGAGACAGTGTAACTATCTGGCATCACAGCTCACAGCAACCTCGAACCCATTCTCTTGCCTCAACCTCTGAGGCCATTCCTCTTCCCTCAGCCTCCCAAGTACCTAGGTCTATAGATGCCTGCCACAACACCCAGCTATTTTTTGGTTGTAGTCATCATTGCTGTTTGGCAGGCCTAGGACGGGTTTGAACCTGCCAACTCCAGTGTATATGGCTGCCACCCTAGGTGCCGAGCCAGGAACTGAATTTTTAATTTCAATTTGCTTTAATTGATTTCACTGTAAACTGCCACCTGCAGCTGTATTAGAACTAATTTTTTAAGTTCATTTTAGTGATTTAAAGTTTAATGATTTAAAAATGTTAATTTCAGTTAATTAAACTTAAATGAAAGTCTCCAACTGTGGCTGCACAGTGTAGGTATGGACAGGCCAAGCCCTGGGGAGCAGAGGGTTTAAGGGTTCCTGGAGCCTGTTTCCATTTCTTAGGGATGGGACACATGAGTGCTGGGGTCAGCATCCCATCTAGGGAGGGCTGACTGCAGGGCCTACCCCTTGTAGTCGCAGTGACACAAGGCACACAATGGGCAACTGAGTGCCAAGCTCCTCACCTGTGGGCTCCAATGTCACTCACAGCAGCCTTGTGATATTGGTGTCACCCTTATATGGCAGGAAACTGGCTCAGAGAGAGGACAGTGCTTGCTCAGGGCTGCACTAGCCAAAAAAAGATGCTTACAGGCTGGGCACAGTGGCTAACATCTGTAGTCCCAATTACTCAGGAGGCTGAGGCAGGGGGAACAATTTGAGCCCAGGAGATTGAGACCATCCTGGGCAACACAGCAAGACTCTGTCTCTACAGAAAATGAAAAATGTTTAAAGCTAGGTCTGTGACTCTTAAGGCTTATGCTCCTGCCCCTCTGCTGTCCTCACCTCTCAAAGGGAGCAACCCACTCCACCCAGCCCTTGCCCCAGTCCTGGCGGTCTGTTCTCTTCTTCAAGATCCAATTCTACTCCTTTTCCCCACTTGCCTCAGCCCTGTGCCCTCGTCATCAACCTCTCCTCATGGCCTATGGGGATGGGGTGGACAATAAAGATGGCGAGAGGTGGCAGGAATGTTTGGGAGCAGAGGTTCAGGGGAGTGGGTGTGGAGGGATACCTCCGCTCCTGCTGAAGTCTCCGAGTTATCCTTTGCACCTGGTGGAGCCTGTTTAAGACCCGCTCATTTACCTGTGGGGGGGAGGGGAAGAAAACAGGTCAGCAGGTGGCCTTTCACTCTCCTGTTAATTTATTTAGCACAGTGGTTCTCAACCTTCCTAATGCTGCAACCCTTTAATACAGTTCCTCTGTGTTGTGACCCACAGGCTGGGAACCGCTGATTTAGCAAATAATTAATGCAGCACTTTATTGGTACTAAATTCTGGGGAAACTGGCTAAGACCACCCCATGACCTGAGGCCCTGCATAGTCTACTCCTTCCCAACTTCCCATGCCCTCCAATCATGCTGGCTCCCAGGCTGAGGCCTGAACCCTCAAGTACCCTTGGTCCCAGGCTTTCCACATGCTATTCCCTTGGCTTGGGCCATTCTCCCCCAGCAGTCTGCACAGCTTGCTGCCCTGCTCCCTCAGGTCTTACCTCCCACTAAGGGGCAGCACACCAGCCCCTGCTGGAAGCCTACCCATCCATCCCTTCTCAGCTTTATTTTTCTCTTAATGATACAGCCTGTTTGCTTATTTAGCTGATTGTCAACCCCCTAGGCAGAGCATGAGCTCCATAGGGACAGCGGCTTGGGCCTGTATCCACAGTGCCTTAACCAGAACCGGCACATAGGTCCTCAATGGGTATTTGCTGAATGAGCAACTTGGCGTACTAAGAAATGCTCAGAGGACACCAAATGGGGCATCCTAGAGATTGGGGAGGAGGTGGCTTCTTTAGTTAGGGACTATAGATCTTCTCTGTGGACTGAGGCCTGAATGATGAGAAGCAAACAATGAGTGACAGCCAAAAGGAAAGCAAGTGAGGCTAAGGGGACAGCCCCTGCACATGCAGTCTCTAAGGACCCCAGTCTAGACATGGGAGAGAGGAAGCCTAGGACAGTGGCTGAAGCCTATGAAATTGCTGGGTCAGAAAGACAGTTTCAGATTTCAGCTCTGCCACTTAACTGTGTGAGCATGGGTAAATTACTTCACCTCTCTGAACAGTGAGTTTCTGCATGCACAGAATGTGGATAATCTATTCATAGGGTGGTGGGCTTAGAGCATAGGCTTAAAATGAGTTCCTTTGGGCCTTGGTGTCCGCCTGTTAAATAAGGTTTGGAATAGATCCCCAGTCTTCTGGACTCCAGCCTGCACCCTTCCAGAATACCCCAGCACCACTGTTATGGGTTGAATTGTGTCCCCCTCAAAGCCATATGTTGGGGTCCAAATCCCTGGTACCTCAGAGCAGGACATTATTTGGAGGAGGGTCTTTACAAAGATTATCCAATTAAAACAAGATCACTGTATCACTGGGGAGGGCCCTTACAAGAAAGGGAAATTGGGACCCACAAGTAGAATACCAGGTAAAGAAGGCAGAGATTAGGGTGATGTTTCTACATGCCAAAGACTGCCAGCAAACCGCCAGGAGCCAGAGGAGAGCCTGGAGCACATTCTCACAACCCTCAGAAGGAACTCATTCTGCCAATACCTTGATCTTGGACTTCCAGCCTCCAGAACTATGAGATCATAGATTTCTGTTGTTAGGCCACCCAGTTGGTGGTACTTTGTTACGGAGGCCCTGGCAAACTGATACAAGTATCTCCAGAGACTCTTTCAAGCATGCAGACCTGATCCTTCCTGCTTGAAAACCTTCAGTGGCTCCCCCTCACTCTCAAAGAAAAAAACAAAACAAAACAAAAATCCAGACTGCTTGCCCTGCTGTTCCTGGCCTGCCACAATCTGGATCCTACCTACTGCTCCATCCTTGTTCTCACTGAGGCTAATGCAAAGATGCAGCCCAGTCTGAGTTGAGGGCAGCAGCTATGGAGATTTGAAGTTGGAGAAAGATCCAAGGTAGTAGATTCAAGAGGCAGAAAGGTCTAGCATAGAGCGATTCAAGGTAGGGACACGGAGATTTGAAGAGTTTGGGCTTGGACCTGTGATCCTGATATGCATGAGGCACCTGTGGCCATCAGCCAGTTTGCCGACCTGGGCAGGCAGGAAAGCTCCAGAGGACTTGGCTCTCCAGGGGCCTGGCATAGGGCCAGACGCATAATGGATGCTAAATAAATGGTGAATAAAAATGAAAGATTTATTCAGCTAGCCAAGAAGTGCTGGGCATGTGTATAGGCAGAGATGGGAGAGGAGTAATTTAGTTCAGGGGACTCCGAACTCACCTACCTGCTCGATCTCCCGGCACCGGCGACCTAGAGCCTGGTACTTTCTGCGATTTAGTTCCCGCTGGCGCCGCCTCCGACCCCGGGCTGCCTCTTCCTCTTCATCTCGCTCCCGGAGCCCTGGGCCGCCCAAACCGCCAGACACAAACTCCACTTCTGTCTCTAGTTCACTCTCGAGAATGTGACCGCCAAAAAGCGGAGGCAGCGCCAGCTCTGAGCCTGGCGGCGCTGAGAACTCGTCAAAGCCTACGGCTGCCATGGTCCTGTTGAGGGAGAAAGCATCACAGATTCTGGATTCCTGGCCCCAAGGACCCCTCCTGCTCCAGACTCAGGGTCAAACCCCCAGCCCCTCTTCCCTCAGACCTCGGGGTACAGGTCTCATCCCCTCCTCCATCAGACCCAGGGGTCTGGCCCCCAGCTCAGTCCCCACGAGAGTTCAAACCCTGACGCCCTTCTCTCGGGATCCTGGAGTCAAGATCTCCAGACCATTCATCACCAATAACCTAGGGGATTCAAGCCTCAACCTCTCTCAGACCCAGGAGCCCCTGCTTTCAACCTCCTCGTCTGTCAGATCCCGGAATGCAGAGTCCTAGCCTTTTCTTCCTGCAGGAAGCTTCAGGGCAGACCTCTATCCTTCAAGGGTTCTAAGGGAAAGCATCTGCATGAACTACAATCCCCATCAGCCCCTCACGTAAAAGTTCAGACGGATGCAAATTATACAGTTGCAGCCTCTTTTTCGGGATTCGCAATTTTCACAAAGGCCCGGCCACTTACCCCTCTCTCTGCTCCAGTTCCATCTCTCTCCTACTCCAGGCGCGCCAGGCCTCAGAACTTCCAACCTCTTAATTTCGAGTTAAGCTGTTGGAAGCAAAACTACTACTCGTCCCATCCGGCTTCGCGGCCGAGGACACCGGGACTCGGCGCTAGGCCTCCTGGGAGTTGTGGTTTCCTATTTCCGCCTTCGTTTCCTTCCACCCCCCCCTTCTACCCCAGTCCCTGCTTAAAGGCTTATTTTCTCTTTTAACGCCACCGCTAGCTGTCTGAGTTGCCACCGTCTTTATGCTTATCTCATCACCCCGTCATCCAGCCACTGAGATTCTCCGCTTAGCAGGCTCAGTCCACGGAAGGCCATCAGTTCGACAAGTCGCCGCTCCTCTTTTCTGCTCACGGCTTCCCTGCTAAAAGGCAGGTAGCAATAAAGTTGCTGTTCCAAACGCGGCCGGTAGCGCGCAGGACGTCGACCAATCAGAGAGCAGCTTTATCTCAACAATGGCGCGAATGTGATACGTCATCGGTAAGCGACGATCACTCTTGGAAGCCTATTTCCTAGAAACCGTCGTGCGGATAGAGAAGAGGTGAGTGTGATGGAGAGGAGGGGAGACCGGGAGACCAGACCCCTGGGTCTAGGGAGGAAGTTTGTAAGGAGAAGGGCGTACCACGTAGATTAATCACCCCAAGGCGTTTATTTGCTTCTACCACAATGTGGACCTGGGGTTATGTCAGGGGCAAAAGTTGTCCCCTGCCTTCCTAGAGCTTTGATTGACGCCTGGAGACAGGCCTAATGAAATAAATTACTTAACCACAAATATGTGAAGTGCCCTAGAGTAGACACACAGGCGTGCGGAGCGTGTATCACAGAGCAACTCCTTCTGGCCTGGAGTTGGGTGTGTAGTCGAGGAGGTGGAACATGAGACCTGTAGGCTGAAGAGGTGTTGAGCTACTAAAGAGTGAGGGGAAGAGCTATTTTAAGGAGAGGGGAGTGGTTGCACGAAGATCTGGAGGTGGGAAGAAGCTGGTAAGTCTTAGCAAGGTGGTGGTTAGAGCGATGTGGTGTGTCTTGCATGGGTAGAAGCTGGAAATATCTCAGTGAACAAAGCAAAGTACCTGTCTGTGTGGAGCAGGCATCCTCAAACTACAGCCCGCGGGTCACATGCAACCCGCATAGGACATTTCTCTGGCCCACCGGGTGTTTTTGCCACCACTGCCTGTCCTGCTTTGCAGCGGACTCGTCCCGGGGCCTGCAGTCTGGCCCTCCAACGGTCTGAGGGACAGTGAACTGGCCCCCTGTTTAAAAAGTTTGAGGACCCTCTGGCGTGGAGCCTCATGAAGAACAAGGGCCTTCTAGGGGAGAAACCTCTCCCTGTAATAAGGAGGGACTTGGTTAGGGGAAGGTCTTAGAGAACCCTGCTATCCCTCCCACAGGCCTTGGGATGTCTCTAGCAGATGAGCTCTTAGCTGACCTAGAAGAGGCAGCAGAAGAGGAAGAAGGAGGAAGCTATGGGGAGGAAGAAGAGGAGCCAGCGATTGAGGATGTTCAGGAAGAGACACAACTGGATCTTTCTGGGGATTCAGTCAAGAGCATCGCCAAGCTATGGGACAGCAAGATGGTAAGAGGACATAATGCACACAGGGCTATAAATGGAAGCTCCTAGAAGAGAGTGGTATGGACAACAACTCTTCTTTTTGAACAGCTCTGGGCTCTTACTTTACTCTACTTCCCTAACAGTTTGCTGAGATTATGATGAAGATTGAGGAGTATATCAGCAAGCAAGCCAAAGCTTCAGAAGGTACATCCCCTCTTCCCCTCCCTTCCCGTCTGTGCTCCTCTGTGGGGCCTCTTGGCTCTTTTGCTGCTTGTAGCTTCCTAAGTTGGACATCATTACCCTCTAGCCTTTTCCAGGGCCCTCTTTTTTTCTTCTGTCCCATCCAGTCCCCTTCCCCCAACAAATATATTGCATTATAAAGCTAATGCTACTTAAGTTCTTACACTGTTTTGCGTTCTTATATGTATTAATTGTGATAGATTTTATCTCAAGGTTTCCCAAATTTCAGTGACTTATATGACCAATTATAGGGTTTTTGTCATATCTGTAAACCACTTGTCTTGTTTGTATATCATTTATTTGAATCACAGATTATTTTTTATTCAAATTAAGAAGTAAGTGAATTGCTACTGTGAATGGGAAACTGGTATCATTTGGTAAAGACCAAGTCAATATAAAATGATTATGTACTTTTTTTTTTTTTTTTTTTTTTTTTTTGAGACAGAGCCTCAAGCTGTCCCCCTGGGCAGAGTGCCGTGGCATTACAGCTCACATCAACCTCCAACTCCTGGGCTCAAGCGAGTCTCCTGCCTCCGCCTCCCAAGTAGCTGGGACCACAGGCACCCGCCACAACGCCCGGCTATTTTTTTTGGTTGCAGCCGTCATTGTTGTTTTGGCGGGTCCGGGCTGGGGATTCGAACCCGCCACCTTAGGTGTACGTGGCTGGCGCCTTAGCCGGTTGAGCTACAGGCGCTGAGCCATGATTATGTAATTATTAAAGAATCACCCAAAATCTTTTCTCACTTCCAGCTTTGGGGACTGCTGGGTTATTGCTTGAATACTCAGACTGACTCTTTTTTTTTCTTAGAGACAGTCTTACTCTGTCACCCTCGGTAGAGTGCTGTGGCATCACAGCTCACAGCCACCTCTATCTCTTGGGCTTAGGTGATTCTCTTGCCTCAGCCTCCCAAGTAGCTGTGACTACAGGTGCCCACCACAATGCCTGGCTGTTTTTTGTTGCAGTTTGGACGGGACCGGGTTTGAACCCACCATCCTCAGTATAAGAGGCCAGTGCCCTACTCACTAGCCACAGGCGCCACCCCTTAGACTGACTCTTAAGAGGGCAGTCCTATTACCACTCCAATTCTTCTTGAGTGGAATCCACTGGCAATAGGAAGCCATGGGCAAAGGAGTGGTGTAGTCTCCTCCACCTGTGGGACTCAGGAGGTGATAGGTGTTTAGACACAGCCTGATACCTGGGCTGCTTCTCATCCACACAGTGATGGGGCCAGTGGAGGCAGCCCCTGAGTACCGGGTCATTGTGGATGCCAACAACCTGACTGTGGAGATCGAGAATGAGCTGAGTGAGTGTTGGAAGGGGCAGGTGGGGACAGCCTGTGGGTGTTCTCACACCTTCTTCTACTTTCCCCAGAGGACCTTCCGGGAGTCCTGGCCTCAAGCCCTCATGATAATACTTTTGTATTAGCTCAAGTCCAGATTCAGCTGCCATACAGAGTGGCTTAAATAAGAAGCACATTTTCTTTCTGTGTAACAGTCTGAGGGAGTGGTTGTTGATCTTGTTGATCTTGCCACCATTTTCATGATGCAAGGTGACCACCCTATCTTCCACACTTCCATCACTTCCACATCCTTGCCAGCAAGGGGAAGGCATGGCTCTTTGTTTTCAGAAGATGTCACTTCAACTCAACATCTTGTAGACCAGAACTAACTCACATGACCATGACCAGCAGCTAGGAAACGTAGCCTCTGTGCTAGGTGTCCAAGTGTCAAGCACAACTCTGGGGTTGGTTTCTAAAGGAAGAGAAAGTGGATACTGGGGACAACCATCATAGTCTGCCTCCCATTTCCCTGGACATTTGCCCTTCCTGTCCTCCCTAGACATTATCCACAAGTTTATTCGGGATAAGTACTCGAAGAGGTTTCCTGAGCTGGAGTCCTTGGTCCCCAATGCACTGGATTACATCCGCACGGTCAAGGTGAGCATAAGAAAGAACTGGAGCTTCTTGACCGACTGCTGTCATTGTGAAGGGGGAAGACACTGGCCTCAGACCTCCACTCTGAAACGCTCGAGGAGAAAACAGAGGCCTTTACAGAGGCTCAGCAGCTCCCACTCAGCATTGAGGATGGGGCTGGAAAAGACTTTCTTATGGCCCCTGCTTGACCCCAGGCTCCTGAGGTGACTTCCCTGCTGTGCTGACCTGAGCTGCCCCCCTCAGGGAGCAGGTGGCATTCCAGTTGAAATCTGAGGGCTGAAAGGAGCTAGGAGGAATTGAGCGGTGGGAGGAGAGGGAAGTAAAGAGTTCAGAGCACATGGACCCTTTAAGGCTGTGGACATTATGGGAAAGTGGTGAGAGGATTAAAGGTGGGGGGCAGGTACAAGTAAAGACAAGGAGAGGAGGAGGTCCTTGCATGTGTCCAGGAAAATAGGAAATTAGGATGGTGGCTGGAGAGGTCCCTGCAGGGAAGCAAGGCTTATGCTCAGGCTCTGTTTCTGAGTCAGCCAGAACAGGGAACATGATGTTCGTGCTTTGGGCAGGGATGTTCTTGGATCAGCTAGGAGGCAGGAAAGGCCTTCAGCATGCAGACCGTGACTTCCTAGAGATGCACATGGATGCTGGAGGAGGAGAAGTTCTAGGCAGAGTTTTGACCTCCCCTCCCTTTCATTCTCACCTCCAGGAGCTGGGCAATAGCCTGGACAAATGCAAGAACAATGAGAACCTGCAGCAGATCCTGACCAATGCCACCATCATGGTTGTCAGCGTCACTGCCTCCACAACTCAGGGGTACATAGCCCTCAAGGGAGGTGCAAGGCCTGTCTTAGGTCTGTCTAACAGAGGCCAGAATGGTCTGTCTGAGGCAGTGCAGGCTGAGAGCCGAGGTGCCCAGCAGCCCCGGCACCCAGGCCCCGGGGGCTGATGGGACTTGGGCTTGCCCCAAAGCTGCACACATGCATATACACATGCACAAAAACATGCACACATGTACACCCAGAGCTAAGTGAGCAGCAGCTGGCACCAGGCAGTCAGTGCCTACCTACCCCTGCAGGCAGCAGCTGTCAGAAGAGGAGCTGGAGCGGCTGGAGGAGGCCTGTGACATGGCGCTGGAGCTGAACGCCTCTAAGCACCGCATCTACGAGTATGTGGAGTCCCGCATGTCCTTCATTGCGCCCAACCTGTCCATCATCATCGGGGCATCAACGGCTGCTAAGATCATGGGTGAGGCTTTAGGGCTGGGTCCCACAGGCTGGGGTCTTGATGTGCTGTGTGACCTCGGGGAAGCCATGGCCCTTCCCTATAGAATGGGGGTTTGGCCTGGGCCCCCCACCCTGTCTGCTGAGAGATCACAGGAATTACCAGCCTGGCACAAATATAGAGGGAGGGGGAATCCTTAGTCCCTGTCCCTAAGTCCTTGCACCACCAGGGCCATGCTGGCAGTAAAGGATCAAGGCACCAGGCCCTGAGGAAAGGCTGAGAGGCCCCAGCAGCTCCCAGCTATACTGCAGTCTGGGTGTAGTAACATCAGCTCTTTGAGGCTCAACTTCCTCTGCAAGATAGGGGGCACTAACCCTGGCACTGTGTTAGGATTAAAAGATGGGTCCCCTCCTTCCCAG